CTAGTAAAATAGAATTGAATTTATTCATGTATAGCAGAAACAGGGTTTGGGGGCTCTTCAGAAACACGTTTATTTTCTGCGTTTTGCGTCCATTGGACACTTACACATCCTACGACCAGCTTTGCTGTCCCATTTAAAAAAAAAATACAACAACAAAATACAATGACCAGAAACATTTGTTTTACGAGGCGTAAAATAAATTAATTTATACGTGAGAAAAATGTTGTTGATGCCGTCCATATATGATCTATGTTGTGTATTTGTATTGTCAGCTCCCCCATAGAACTTAAACTGTAAATCCATTACTGCTATTCCGTATTTGGACTTAATAAACTTCGTAATTTTAAGTGTATGGAGGAAATTGCATTACAAATTACAAAAGCGTAATAATGGAGTTATGATTTGATTTTCAATAAAACAATGATTTAAATTAGTGATTGTTGAACTATTGAACATACTTTTCATGAAATAAAGCCATTATGTCGCTAGCATTGGCGGCATCCCAACCAGTGTGCCCTCTAACAAGGTGGATTTTGCTAGGATATTGACTGGAGTCAAAATGAAATCCGTCAAAACCAAGTTGAGACAGCTTGTTGACTGCTGAAAATGTTCTGGTCGCTGATTTCCTTCGTATTTATACATATTTTGTTTATAAAATGTGAATTTCTTACTACCAAGTTCCATAACTACAGTAAGATGTTTTTCCCCCGAGATGACTAGTACGATTTTCAGTTGCGGCAATGACGTGTGTTTTTTTGTTGCGTCACTGAAAATCTGCGTGCTTAGGTGGCGCGTTATTTGAAGCTAGTCTTTTTGTCCTTTTATTCACGATTTCAGCCATTTTTGACAAAAAAACTCTGACTGCGGGCACTCCTATTTATACAATGAGTTACTTGGCCAGTAATCAAATCTATGGAATTTGTAAGTTATACTGATTGAAACACGACTGCACAGTTTATTTTCTTCACTACAATAAATCCCGCCATGCATTGCTGCTGCTTTGGGTGTACACTAAACAAAAGTAACGTAACCTAGAAAGCACCCAATGCTTGAAGTTCATGCATAGACATTGTAACACAAGTAAAAGTCTACAATCCAAAACAGAGAGAACTAATTGCTGTACTCGAAACAACTCAAGAGTCTGGTGTGCATCTTAGACTAATGTTAATAGAAAATGCTTCACATTGAATATTGATTTAGTATTACAGCCTATCTTCGATCGTAAAAAATAGAATTTGATGGCACCTTAAGATGATGAAAACTCAATAACATCTGAATCTAAGAACTGCTTGGTGATATTTATATATTAAAAAAACAGTACATTTCAAAAATCATAACTTGCACATTACTTAACATGTCAAAGGTTTTAAACAAGATTTTGCCAAGAATATAATTATGTCTAAACTATACACATGCCATATTACTACCTAGCTGACCTGATTTTGAACAGTTGAAATATTATGCTCATTCACCTGACATTCAGAAATAAGCAGCAATGCCTGATGTCAGTAGAACTAATGCTCTGGTGGCCTTCACACAAGAACTGGTTTAGAACACTGCTCAGGGTAATTTTAGTGATGTGGCGTATAGGGTGGAATTCCCAATAAAAAACTAGGGCATCTTGAATCTGGCAGGAGAAGTCATTATGTAACATATGGGCAGTACATTTTATGCTACATACCTCACTAATTCTTAAATACAATCTCATTGTAAAGAAATATGATTGATTGAAAGCAATGTCAATCAATCTTTGAGTTATTTCTCAACTTTTATAATAACATATTACTAGCATTTCATCGAGCTGCGTATTGGGAGGGTGGGGTGGAATGCCCCATAGATTTTCTGCAATTTTAAATCAGGCTTGAGAAGTCGTTAAACATGCAGTCAGTGCTACATTCTTTGCAATGCAGACAAAAAAGGTCATCAAGACATTCAATGATTTAAGCATTCATTTAATATGAAGAGTACAAAAATTGAGCCAAGATCAGAGCTACACGATTGCAACAATGTAAATGATTTAAAAAAAGAAAGGAAAAATAGTTGACATACATAAGTACAATGCTGAGAAGTTGGTGAAATCATTGTCTTTGAAAACATGACTAATGCAAAATTACCGTTCCAATCAGGAATTCTACTGGTTTGTCATTACAACAGACAATGCTATAAATCAGCCACATATTATTAAGCAAGTTGAGGTAAAAGCAGAAAACTGAAAAATTTCTATCTGAAAAGCATGTAAATTGTACACTGCATCATTAAAATGACTCTCGTATATTTAGGCAATACTAATGAAGCAAATACTATAGGAAACAATGTAAACCGCTTGAATTTTTTAAGGCAAATTTCAGTGTGACATTTCATAACAGTAAACGACCTTATATCGCAAACACTTCCTTGCCTCAAACAGTAATCTGACAATTTACAAAACGCAAGGGAGAAAATGCAATGTATTTACACTTATTTTGTTTCACTTCATTTTTGTTGTGACCATGAACGCGAGGCGGCTTTGTAGATTGTAAAGAAGAATTTATTTACCAACTGTTCTACGTAACATCAACACATTATATTATCTTCAGCTTGACACCAACTATAGTATGAAACAAATTCAAGAGATTACAGATTAAGAAAATATTTGCAAACACACTTTTACTTGTTGATTCTTCACATCATAACATTTTCTCTGAATATAAACACTGCTACTTTTTGTTCTGTTGATGCACAGGGAAACATCTTCCATCCTCTCATAAATATTAACATTTCAGTGGTTTAGAGTCAAGGTGCACAGACTTTATTCTGATAGGTCGTTAAACAATCCCAGTAATGGAAAGTAAAACGAGAATAAGCAAAGAACATGAATAAAGTTTAAACCCCTCATCGATCTGAGCAAACGTGGAATAATTACTCATCTATCGAATACATGAATAAGTATCTTATCAGAATAGTTCCAGAGTGTCAATTGAAAATAGACAATACATGAACACAAATTAACATTTGGATTCAATTAAGTATTCAGACTATCATGTGTACACATTTATTTCAAAGAGGCAGCTCACTAGCGATAACTTGCAACAAATACCGTAAAGCCCTTCCTCCCCTCTTTAACAGTTGTAATCGCATGTACAGATAGGCGTCAGATGTGTGAAATCAGAAATTACTCAAACCATATGACAAAAAGATTCTTCCAGCTCACAAACCTTCATAAAAAACACCAATCATTTTTTACAAAGACATTATTTTAACATTGGAGTTTACACAGTCAGTACGATGAAAGTAATCTTGAGGAAAAAAAACACACAAGCAGGCAAAGTATTTTAAACAGTGACACACTCTCACTAAGTATAAATCAGCTATATACTGTGAAATACACTATTTTCGCTGAAGGGATAATTCAGTGAAAATAAAATCCAGCGAATATAACTTTCTTCCCATGTTTTTCAATCAACTCCATAAACAAACTCCTTGCAAGAATCCAAAAAGCCTTTTCCACAAAAATTAATTCCAGCTAAAATAAAGTATTTTACAGTAGTTTTAATTGGAAAGTAATTACGTCTGAGTAATAAAAATAATTTGTGCAATGGGTACCCAGTTTACCCAAGACGACATCGGATCACTATTTAATCTAGCTATATCTAATATGTATCAAGTATTTTTTACATAAACTGATCTTTTCAAAGAAGACCTAAATTTCTACTGCCAGTCCTTTTTTATATCAAAAGCCCACTCCCAGCTGAGATGGTCATTTTTATCGTCGTCTATAAATTTGCTCTTGACTGTATAGTGGCCACGTGCAACCATTCCTTTTGGCGCCTCCTCTGCTGGAGTCTGGTAAAACTGCAGTTCTGCTTTCGGGCCATAGCTGCCAACCATGAAATGAGTTTTGTCAACTGTAACAGAAATATAATATGGCAATGTTACATAGACATGTCTGTAATATTGTCTACTGTACCTGCCCCTCTGGAACCCAACCAGCGACACAAGACACAATTAATTTTTTATGTATACAAGGAACTGGATCTTTAAGTAAGAATTTGGTGATTTTTAAAGCAAGTTCCTTTCAAACCTGTGAAGTCTGTAAAAAAGTATAGGGTGCATAGGCATCGTGGGTAGAGTGTGATCGACGTTTTGTTAATTGAGTCCAGTAGAGGAAATTGTGTAGTTTGGAGTGTCCTTGGACCAGAATAGGCCTGAGCATTGTCACATCATTCGTTGATCTACTGCCACAATGTTTCCTATTAGTTGTTTTATTTACCTGTACATTTATTTATGTACAGAATTCATGTACCTTCAAAACACATACCAAAAATGTCATTGGGAAATCTAGTTTTTTTGTTTCTAAATAACAACTTCCCCTGAGAAATTAGTCTTACCTCGTATTCCTTTCCTGTACGTTAACTGATGATACTTTAAACCACATACGATTTCATGCTGAATCTATTGAACAAGGAACGTGCAAAAAAATTAGCAAGTATAATGTGGCATTACTATATGGTCATGGGTCATGGGTGAAAGGTCATTTAATAATTGCATTATTGGCCAAACATCACAGAAAATGAAATGCTACATGATGGATACATGACTGTAAACCATTAAATTTTCACTGCCAGAAATTTCCACAATTTCATGATTTCATGGTATTCGTCAATTTTTCCAGAAAGTCACTGCCACTGTGTTGTAGAACTTCAGCATAGTATATATGTTCTATTGTAAGTACATCTCCAAAAGAAAAACACACAAACCAAAAATGTGCATATCTTGACCCTAAAAATATGTGGTCCAAATAAAGCAAATATTCTGCAACCAATTCAAGATGGAAAATACATGACCAGCTACAGTTGATTGTTTAGTAGCGGCCAAACTCAATCAGTTATAAACATTACAAGCATACAGTGCATGTTTTTGTTTTTTTGGGTCTTTTTTATTACTGACCATGGCAAAATGAAAGACTTGCATTTAGATACCAAAAAATAAAAATGTATGACTGATGATTAATTTCATTTTTGCTGCAGCCATGACAAAATTGAGGCTGGAAAAATCATTTTAAAATGAAAATCTGTTTTTGTAGCCAAAGCGAATCCCATAATCATGGCATTTTTTGAAGTGTTAAACTGACACTTCAAAATGCTAAGTAAAATATCATTACAATGATCATGTTGCATTATCTTTTCTGTCTCTGAGCGAATTTACAACCTTAAAACTATAAATAGCTCACGCTGCACCAAAAAGTCTGGGTTTGAGATAACAGATACAACCTAAAAATACGTTTGTTTGCAAAGGCAGCCATATTGGTAATTTGATGAACTCTAGTATAGTGGAAACAAACCAATTCTGCCCAAGCACAAGGATAGTACATGTACCCCAGTCCATCCTGAAATGCATTCCGGGAAAAATAACCCTTAAAAGCTTAGTGCTGAAAATGATAGTACCGGTAATAAAGCGGAACTAAGAGCATTTTTTTTTTTAAATAACTGCAGAATGTGGGGTGAACCATCATGAATTATTTTGATACTTACTCTGAATAAAATCTTTATCCTATATTCTGTGCCTTCTTTGATGACAAAGGGAGAAGATTTTAAAACTGACAAGTCTCCTATTACGGGAAAAGATAAAATGAATTACTTATCAGTAAACTATCATCCGAATATTCAAGGTATCAAGTTTTAGAGTATCTTTTTTGACACCTAAGTCACCGACACCTATTCAAGAATACAATGCTCATTGTGTCTGGCATGAATAAAGTTAATTTTATTTTTACAATGAGCTGCTACCACTGTGAAAAATGGTGAATACAGATTACCATCCAAAAATGACTAATTTGTTTGTTTTTCACTATATTCAAGGCCACAATTTGTACTTGATATTTGTGTTGTGTTCGCCAATGTCGCTGCACCACATAGCATTCTGATTGGTTAACATCCCATTAGATCAAAGGATGCAGATCAGCTCTTGCTTCAAAAACACATAGCTTGCATTTTAGAAACACTGCAGATATCGTTTTGCATTGAGTGTTTGCAAGTGAGCAAAAGCAGCTTGCATAATTAAAAACACCCTTGCCCGGAACAGAACAATTCGGGCAATTGAATTGCTAGTATAATATAATACAACTTTGTTGATAAATCATGTGAGTGCATCACCTGTTAAAGCAAGCTCTACATCTGGTCGACCTTCCACTACAAGGCACATCTTTTCAACAATAACCTTTCGAGGATCATCTATGCCTATTAAAAACACAATGGAAGGAATAATAATAAATAATTTGTTCACAAACATGTTAATAATATCACTTTTGACCCAATCAGCACATATTTTGTCCTTCACTAAGTGAAAACAAGACATGAATGTCACAGTCCCCATCATTTAATTATAATACATGAACATCTAACAATTGAATTAATATGTATCCTATGTGGGTACAACTCATCATAAAGAGATTTCCCTCAATCTGATAACTGAAAACTTTCACTGACCGGGTCTAAAATCTCAGAGTACACAAGTGCAACCAAACTATGCCTCATACATGCTGAACAAACTGCATTCATAAATCTGAGTAAACCTTGATATACCTTTGATAACAAGGTTTTTGTATATTACCAGGACCTGGGTTTGTTTCAGTATCACCACTATAATTCCCATCAAAATGTAGCACTGACACCCCTCTACCCATCTGTCACTGATTCAGATCAAGTTCATGACCAGGTCATGACATCACTAAAAACCCTAGCATTACAATCTAAGCTAATTATTTATTCCGAGCATGCTCAGTTGTGTTCTCAGTGGTGTAGGGAGAGGTAGTTTTGGATGAAAATCATGAAAAAGACCCAGTTAGAATTTTCAAATCTGGGAAAAAAATATTTGGCAGAGACTTGTTCATCAACCTGCCAAGTTTCATCGATATCTGCTGCAGAATTTCTGAGAAAATGTTAGAGATCTCACAGATGGAAACTGGAAAGAAGAATTTTGCCTGAAACGGGGACTAATGAAGATTGTAAACAAATTGCTAATGAAAAACAGCACTAAGAATTTACAATGATAGAAACTTAATACTGACCTGTCGCTAAATTGGTACCTAGAAGTGTTTCTTTGTACTTTTTTAAGCTTTCATCTTCGTCGTCTAGTTGTTGAATTTCAGCCAATGACTTCTCAGCCGGCGGTTTGTAGCCTGGCGTTTCTTCAATCTCTTCCTCAGCATGTGGTGATATCTCCTGTGGATCTGAAGCCATAGTTTCGTAATTCTAATGAGACTGAAATAAAGAATGGAAATAGCACAATTTCAAAGAGGTATATGCAAGGTCACATTTTGGATCTCACTAAAATGTATAAATCTTATTGAACATTAATATAAAGCACAGGGAAAAGGGCTTTCAGTATCATCTACTGTAAGCGGCTATAATTTCACACAGGTACTTACAACAGGAGCCTAGGGCTGCCTTAGGGTTGCGCTAGATTTGTACAATACAAGTATACTGTAAGTCCTTCCATAAACCCACCCCTATATTTTTACACATATAACGAGTTAAGGGCATCCTTGGTTTTACAGGACATCAACAATGGGTTAACATTTATTAAAAAGTGTGTTCCACTGCATAAAAATAGTCATTAGCGTGGTAGTTCCTTTTTTTTTTAATGTATGGTGGCCTTGACAAGAGCTTTTTGGTCCATGCATTTATGAGAAAACTTGCTACTTTCACAGGGTATGGCGAATAAAGCAACACCGTTCACAATCTTTTACCATATACCCAATGCTGGAATACTGAAGTAATCCACATCTTTTTGAGTAGTAGCTTTCAAAACGCCAAAAATGTGACAGTGAAGTAGTGAAACCTGATCCTTAAACATCGTTTCACAGTTTTGAATAATCAGTGTTCTTTGAGACTATTATGAATGGATGTGAACAGGTAAACTATTCTTCATAGTTGTTAAATACCTTTCAAAAAAATTTCAGGAACAATTGCTGTTTTTTTGTTGAAATTAGTGCTAACAAATAGTATTTTAACATTGTGGTAGTGCTCTGCATTGAGTTAAAAAAAAATGACATTGTCAAATTTCGTAAGTATGACACAGCATTTTGATTGGTCAATGACCTATTAGGTCAGAGGACGTTGTGTCAGGTCAAATCATGCTGAAAAACATCATGGCGGAAATTGCTTTGTATCAAGATTTTGCCAATTGTTTTCAAACAGTAGATTCAGACAGTATATGTAGTATTCTGTATTGTATATGTTGTGACCTTTGATGACCTTTGCTCGTCTACCCATAATGCATTGTACTTTTAGGGCGAGGAACAGAGGTAATGGCTGCCCACTGACACACAAACTAATTTCATTAAACTTTGTCCAATAGAAAACCAAGTGCTAAGATTGTTAAAATTACATTATTTTATGTTGTACATCAAAGTACAGGCGGAAATTGGAAGGAGAGGAGAGCAGTTTTCTTTGTGGTTTTACAATACTTGATGGCTGAACCTTAAACCTTAAAAAAAAACATTTTTTTTTGTTATATGTCAATTATTTCTATTGTTAAAAAATGAATATGCTGATAATATTGTATTATGCAAATTAGCAGCCTGGCTCAGGCATTCAAATGGAAAAAGGGGTTTACACCAGTTCTCTGGTCTCATATATGTAAGGGAAGAGTAGGAAATCAAACTCGCGGTTAACCGCGGTCATTACCGCGGTGGTGGTGGGTGCTCGCCGGTCGACCGCATTTTATGCAAATTTATGCATATATTCCATGAGCCCGGTTTACCACGGTCGTGTGCGGTAGGCTCGCAGGGCAATTTACACCCTATTGTTAAGACTATGAATGGACACAATAGACTGGGAAACTAAAGGTTACTTGCCGCCAAGTTCAAATAATAAAAACTGAGTGGTACCAGAAGATTGGAAAAATCGTCTCTATTAGTTCGCAGAAGAACACTATTTTATTTTCACGAGTCTTGGTATAACATCGCAAAGCAACCCAGAATAATGTAGACCCCACATAATGTAAAATAATATCACATTATTTTGAATTTACATCATGTATGGTCTCAGGATTTATTTTAAAAGATTAATGTTTTGCGTATACCAATATAATCGGGCGATGAGAGGCCGCAGTTTACGTTACCTCGAGACCATGCACTAAGTAGGAAAAGCAAGCCGAAGTCGAAGAGGGAGTGTCACACACTTGGTGCTACAATATATACTACAACAACTGGGTGATCAGCGAAAAAAATAGCGCACTTCTTGGCGAAACTGACTAATCTGACTAAAAACCTTGGCCCAAGTTTAACCCCAAGTCACGCGCTGAACAAGTGGGTTGTTACCTTGGTGACCATTCACGCTCCGCCTTGACCTTGTTATTATACACATCCCATTACGCAAATTTTTACTGGCTCTGCGTTGCCTACGTAAAAATTGTTACCGTTCTGGTTGTGAATATTTCACCATTGCCGACGTGATAATGCGTTGCCTTCGTAATAATTAAGCAAACTTATTTTCCATTATTTACGTACTGGCTGTGAATATTTCACCATTGCCGACGTGATAATGCGTTGCCTTCGTAATAATTACGCAAACTTATTTTCCATTGTATACGTACTGGCTGTGAATATTTCAACGTTGCCGACTTGATAATGCGTTGCCTTTGTAATAATTACGCAAATTTATTTTCCGTTGTTTACGTACTGGCTGTGAATATTTCAACTTTGCCGACTTGATAAAGCGTTGGCTTCGTAATAATTGCGCAAACTTGTTTTTCATTGTTTACGTACTGGCTGTGAATATTTCAACTTTGCCGACTTGATAATGCGTTGCCTTTGCAATAATTACGCAAACTTATTTTCCGTTGTCTACGTACTGGCTGTGAATATTTAAACTTTGCCGACTTGATAATGGGTTGCCTTTGTATTAATTACGCAAACTTATTTTCCGTTGTTTACGTACGGGTTGTGAATATTTCAACATTGTCGACTTGAAATTGCGTTGCTTTCGTATAATTAAACTACAACTACACGACTTAGTCCAAACCGCGACTTACTTCCTCAGAGACGGGGCCACTGAATAACTGTTGTTAAAAATGATATTGTAAACAAACACGCACACACAAAACATTAAAGCCAGAAAAGTCAAGTCAAGAAACAACATTTCAAATAATAATAGTTATGGTTTGACATCTATATCATTTTGAAATAAACTAAATTTCATGTAAATAAAATGATCCATGCGTTACAATTTACTGTAATTTCAAACTCGGGGCAGTGTACTTTGAACGCAGAGTATTCGATCGCTTACATTTTGAGTGAAAACAAAACAAAAAAAACAATGTCAGCTGCTTTTGAACTACGTGCGGTTGGCACAGTAACGGGCAATGACCTCAGCGGTTCACACACAATGAAATTCTAATCGAGCCAGCTAGCGTTATCGTACGGTATCATAAAGTCAATTATTCATTCAAAATGCCTTTCACACTCACGAGTACCATGGAACACAAACATGTAACAGAAAAATAACGTCTTTTGTTTAAAGAAGATTCTGTCAACCAAGAATACATGCGCAAGGCAAGATTTATGAAACGAAACAGAAAATAATCATGTCATTGTCAGTGCAATGCAGACAGCCTGACCTGTTTTGATTAGTTCGCCAGTTTCTCATTTGCTAGCCATTTTTT